CTGCGTTTGTCTTGGGTCAGACTTCAAATCTTAACGAACCTGAACGACTCCAACTTACTGTGTTGTGTCCCGAGTCTTTCCTAACTTTGCCCAATTCGTAGTTGACTCAAAATATGTCTTTTTTCGGATCTATATTTATCACCTATCAGAACGTTAGAACTACTAAAACGTATCTGGTTCACATTTTCCTCATACACCTCTTTGAATTTTAGACTAGGTACTCCATCCCGTTTTCGTACCTCCACTTAAACGCCAGGAATAGCTGTAAGACTGCCCTGATTACTTCCTCGAACATACCCACAGATCTATCGTTCTTAATCGCCCTATCGTGCCGCTTTCCATATCATATAACCTCGTAGTTTATACAGCGAAGTACAATAATCAATAACAAGCAGGATCCTTACCCAATTCCTTCCATTTATCATAACAGCGAGCATTTCCTCGGTTATATATCATTCCATTCAAAATGCTGCCTCCTCCTAGAACCTTTCCTGCGTTCCACGTGCAAGATTTCCCTCCGCAGTATCCGTCTTCAGGCTCCGTCTGATACTGCCAGTCAAACCTCGTTTCCCAGTTAAGCGGAATGAACGCCGGGACGTCAGCCTGAGGGGGTTCCTCGCCACCCGCTTCCAACAGCAGTACTTTCCAGTCATTTATCTCAGATAACCTGTAAAGGTGCAGAAGTACACGGTACGTCGTTTTGTACACCGAAAAAGCAAAATGTAAGGAGTTTAAAACAACATATGACCTGGCGCGTCACCTACATCCGACAGTCCACCTTGTCCAACTATAAAATTACGAATCTTATATTCGATATTTGTCTTAAATGCCTATTAGAAATAGTGACAATAATATGAGCATTACAGTAGAAACGTCACTTACCTGCTGGCCACAACACAACCTGCCGATCCTCCACCAACTACTATGAAATCATGTCGTTCGCCATCAACAAGATTCAAGGGAGACAAGTCTTCATTAGTCCACTGGGGACCGTTCATTTTAGGTAGAAGCCACAGCAGATAGCAGAGGAACTTAGTCGCTGGACATGCAGCAGAAGCCATTGCACTAGACCCTGTATGAATTTGAAATACAAACAAATCACGTTACAGCTCCCCTCTTTATATCGCCACAGAAGCAGTTCACGGATGAAAGCCTCGGAACACCAATTCCCGTGTAATTTCAGTATTTTAATGGTAAGTGCCACCCCTCGCACACATTACGAAATAAAAATAATCCCAGACATAAAAAGACAATTTACCGTCACGCCCGCTTGAACGCCAATATTGCCAGAGGACAGCGTGTGGCACTCTAACGGGGTTGACTGAAATTTATTGAACGCATTCCTAACACCATTTATACTCTATATTTATTGCATCGTTAAAGATCATGTGGATCCCAGTGGCCGCGGAATTTAACGTTATAAGAGCCGTCATAGATCGCATACCGAGAAAAAAAAGTGTTTCTGTTTCAAGCGTGTGATTAATACAGTACAAAACACCTACAAACAATTTCTCCGCTAAAATTATTTTTCTTGCCTGTTGTCCACTACAATATGGACGCTTTGTATCTGTTTGTTCCAGAAATCATTTCGTAATTTTGTGTGTTCCACCTTATCGATGCAACCGCAATCTGGAAGCATTAAATCAGGCCCAGCAGTCGCTACAATCACCTTGCCATCGCCAGGGATGTAGTTTAAACTGTCATAGATGCATATTAATTTCTTTCCTTTTCGATAATAATTACATTAAAGATTTTCAAAGGCAGCCGCGTGATATAGAGTAAAAGTAAGGCTGTCCAGCTACGAACCATGGAAGCGCTTGGGGTGAAGGGAGGTGTAGCTTTTTCTCGTTCTCGGTGGTAGACGTGGGTGAGTGGTCAGCGTCACGTCCCAGCAGCACTTTACCGCAGAGGAACGAATCCATTGAATATAAAGAAGGCTGGGTGGGACCCAGACCCGGTATAGACACAGAGGATGGAAGAAAAACCCTCTGCCGGCAGTCCAGGAGGTGGCCAAGCAAGGTGACTGATACGAATTCAGGTGGTACCCGAGTTTTAAACTTGGACAGCTACTGACTACCCTGACTGAAACTGTTACAGCTATATTCACTATCTCCGTATGAATGCTAAACATTACCTCGGAATCGATCAAGGTTGTCTCCTTTCGAATGCTCGCTGTTTATACAAGAGACGCGAAATACATACGTACACAATTTTACACGGAAAATCGGTAGTAAGGAGGCCTTTTTGGAGACCTAGGCATGGGTGAAAGGATAATTATTGACGCTGGTCTCGAAATAAGGAGAAATGAAGTTGTTCATCTGACTCAGAATGGTACCGATCCCTTGTGGACGCGGTAATGAATCTTTCGGTTCAACGATAAGGGGGGAATTTCTTTTACGAGCTGAGTGACTATCGGCTTCTCAAGAACCCGCTCTATCGAGTTTTCCTTATAGAATAAAAAGTAAGCTTTTTATTAAACTTGGGCTGTAAAGGAATGCTTTCTGTAACAACGGCCTTGAACTATTTTTTTGTGGGATATACTGCAGGATCTTGGAAACGTTTAAGCCAACACATCACCGAAATGACGTACAAAAATGTTAGGAAGGTAATTCTATTCGTTGAAAATTGACATAAACTAGTGGAAACAAAATACAAGTTTTGTTGCGTATTAGGTTCTCATAATGCTGTTATTGGTCTTTTGAATAGGATGGCGTGACGATTGGGATGGTCAGTCTCTAGGTACATGGAAAAAGATTACTTCAAATTACAGAACTGACAGCCCGTTCTAAAAATGCGCATTTCCGCTAATAGTTGATACAATAAAGTTAGCCATAAATGTCTTCATTTTCTGCGCCGATTAATGGAAAAATAAAATTAGAGTAATTGCACTCGACGTTATTACGCTATTGTCATTTTTTTACTGCGAAGTTGCTATCATCATAGTACAATTCACAAATGTTTGTCAATTCTGCGTCAATCAGAACGTCATTCTCCGCATCCCCTGTCGGAAAGTAACAGTAGGAGAGTAGAAATTGTACAGTCCATTACAAGTACTGGAAACGATATAACTGCTGTTGTGTTGCAGAAGAAAAAATCAATGAATATTTTTATTTTAGCTACCTCTATAAAAAAAACTTAAAATTGAAGTCATTGTGAGCTGTACGAAACCACTGTAAACCAAAATGTGGGCGACTTATTTATATCCTTACGTTGCATAGAATATATATATATATAATAATTTATGATTATAACTTGTTTGGCATTTATTTTATTTCCATGCTTTTGTCTGTATAGGGATGCAAGTAGGGATTAAAATAACAATTAAATAAACCACAAATAAATAAATAAATAAATACGCAAAATTTTACTTAAAATCTCTTCGTTTGAGAAACCTTCTCCTGGGTAGTTTGTTACATATCTGCATTGCTCAACCCTTTAAATCTTAGTGGTAACTATATGTACCATCTGCTTTAACAATCTGTAGCTCTGCATTTTACCCATAGAATCTATTTTTTGTTAGAATATTACACTCACAGTAAACGGCTATTATTTCTCGAAACAGCGTCATTCAAATTAATGTTATAATGGAGACGAGATGTGTTTCCTTTGTGGCAAGAACTGAATCTTAAAGTACGGTGTAGATGAGCTTCGACCACATTAAAGGGTTAAAAGTATTTCAATTGAATGTGGCGGCTAGCGGAAGTGCAGGGTAACCAACATTTTCACAGAGTTTAATAATGCAGTTAGGTTTAAAACAGCTTTTAATTCACGTATTGTTAATAACATTAAATATTTAAGCTTAGATATAGTTTAATTTCATGTCGAGAGTAAATTTGTCGCTGAAGTGCGTAAAAATATTTTTATATTCTTTTATGAATTTTTTCTTGCTGTTGGCTCCGCTACAAATAATGACAAAATACCTTTGCCGGTCCGTGTTGAACTAAATTAGTCAATAGAGATGCTTATATTAACGAGGAAATTAAACCTTGTTGTATTGACATAAATAATATGCCTCTCGTCATAATCCACAGACTCTGAAAAAAGTATTATATGTAATATTTATGTACATATATTGTTGAGTTCGATACTTGACTTTCAGTATTTTCGTTTACAATAATTGTGTACATCATAAAACAAGTAGTTCTGTAAATGTAGACTGTTGTGACGGCGGTAGTGTATTTGTCATGTATGTCGTGTTCAGGTATTACAAGGTGTAGTTAGTTAAACTTAATGTTTTCGAATGAGGTATACAGTAGAAAATGACATTATGGCTACGAAATATGTTGGGAGGAGCTGATAAAAAATGTTTTTTATAGGCAGTACTGTCATGTTACAGAACAAGAGCTCGAAACGTAGTGGAATGAAGGATAAGTAGGAACACCGTGGTTAACCATGGCCGGAGTTCATCCAGAAAACGAGGAACGGTTGAATTGGATAGAATTCTGTGACAGGCATGCAAAAACTGCAGCTACTGACTTTGCTAAAGCTTTTTGTACCTATGTCAGTTCTAACCTCCCAGAAAATGCAAGGAACACAGTGTCACATCGTGATTTCGTCCGTAAATTTGTTGACTATTTTGTAGAACATTTTGAAGCAGAATTTACAAAGAAGAATCTTACAAATCACAAGGATAAGATTGTGAATGGGAACAACATTGTCACTTCTGGCACCACAAATCCATCAGCTCCCCGAGCAAATAGCCATGAAGAATTCAGTGATTATTCAGAGCATGAAGCGGATTCCTCATCCCCAAAAACTCTTCATAAACCATTCTTCCGTAGGCTTTCATTTAAAGGGCTGAAGAAAGGAAAAGGTTTTTTTCACAAACAGCATTCAGATGAACTTGAATTGTCATCACATCATGACAGATATTCAAAACATGACAAACATTCCAAAACGAAATTGGCAAAGATTGTTGTTGAGTGTAGAAAAGAGGGAATTGTTAACTACTTGATGGGTGAGAATATAGATGGCACACAAAAGTGGGAGAAGTGTCGGCTGGCCTTAGTAAAAACTGTAGGTGGCTATATGTTGGAGTTCTATTCTCCCCCGAAGGTGAGTTCTAGCGTGCAATTATGTCAACTATATTATTAGTGTTGGCTTTGTTTAGTATGAATTCAGTGGCTGAGTTCAGATCTTTAATGATACATTAAGATTCTTTTACCTGGTATGTTATTTGTGTGCTTGTATTTTGTTCTAAATTTCACATGCTAATTATTATAACATTCTTCCTTTCATCACTTACTCCTTTTGCTATGATTGTAAATGAAATGGTTGGCATGAAAATAAGAATGCTGTTTGTTGTTTAATTTGAAATCATGTTGTATTAATGGTTCTCTCAAGCCCTTCAACCTCAGTGTGCAAAATACATGTCTATTTCATACTTTGACTGCTTCTCCAAGATACCAAAACAAAATGTCAATCTTTATGTTCAAGATGTAGGCAGTTACAGAGCTTTTTTGTGTAGGTGTTACAGTGACTGAGGTTTCGTGTGTTTTTCCCGTCTTCCTAAGAAAATGGTCATTCTCACTTTGAAATGTGGATGAATGGTTAGTACTCCACCTTCAAATATGGAAGGTTGTGGGTGCAAATATTAGCCCAGATACTATTTATCTTGGCTAAGTTTTTTCTGTTGTGGTGTTTGTGCCTCTCCAGACGAAAGCTGGGATAGTACCATAAATTAGACCAAATCCACTTCTTTACATATTCTTTACTGTTTATTATCATATCCTTCAATTCTGAGGCCCTCCTCCATTATATGGAATAATTCTTAGAAGTGAATGTATAATATGGATCTGCAGCACACAAATACATTTCTTTGTGATAACTGTATAAAACTACTGATCTTTTTTAATTAATTTATCTTCAGTATCCTTGCACCTATGTCCTGATTTCACTGAAATATGAAGTTGGAGGGTGTTGTGCAGATTCTTTTGAAAATAGTCAGAATTTGTGTATTTTTTGCACACAATTACAAAATTGTGATATTTAACAAAGATTAGAATTGTATGTAACCTAATCTAACATTAATAGCCATTACAGTAACTTTAAAAAATATGGCCATTAAGTATGAAGAGAAGAAAGAATCAGTAACAGCTAGTAGCCTGGATTATCTAGGTTATGTAACACAGAGTATGTGATGACTTGAATGGCTGAACACCTGCATCCCATGTTACATAAACCCTGATGATGGAGGCAGAGACAGTCTATGAAACACTGGATTGTAATGCCATACTTACACAATTGCCTGAGGAGACTTCATTGCTTTGTCATCATGAAAGCTTTAAATCTTATAAGGATAAACAGTGTTTCACTTCATGATTTCTTTGCTAATTCAAGGTTAGGAAAAAGCATGCAGAAAATTCACATTGGATGTGGGTATCTTGAACAAGATCTTTGGCACAGTAATCTTGCACTGTACCAGCCAAGTCCCTGTAAAAATTGGTTTGTTAGTCCTCTGATAATAATATTTATCTTGTCTAATTTTGAAGTAAGTTGTAAGAATGCCATTTTAAATTGTACTTTTCCCCATTCTTTTTGTATTTAACTTTCTCTTTGTCTCTTTACTCATTCCTTGGTCTGTGCTTTTTTATGCATTTATTTAAGAACTGAGTGCTTAATCATGAAGTCTTAGATTAGTTCATATTGGTTTAGGTACTATTACACTCATCTCATTTAGTGAAATCTTTAGTAAGATTCAGATGAAAAGTTTTTATGATATTAACCAGAGACTTAACTCATACAATTGAATATTCACATTCAATCCCACACCAAGGTGGAGGAATTTTTTATTTGTACCAAAATGTTAGGTCTCATAGGCTGCATAACCTAACTTCTGTTGCCTGTATACTTCTTCTGCTAGCATCATTTCTGTTTTGTGTGGGTTAGTGGTAGTTTATATTATTTTAGTTTTCATTGGATCAATTATTATTACTGTTCTAATTAGGATCTCATGCGTGATTGTAAATTCATTCACATTTCTATTTTTCAGGCAGTGAAACCCAAAAGTGGTGTGTTTTGTTTCTTGATCACAGAAGCAAGGGAAACTACAGCCTTGGAAATGCCTGACCATGAAAATACATTTGTTCTGAAAGTGAGCACTGTTTTATATTGTAGCTTATTAACATTATTGTTTGCTTATGATATTGTGTGGAGTGTCACATATGTTTTGGGTTTACAGGCTGAAAACAACATGGAGTATGTAATAGAAGCTCATGACACTGATGATATGCGATCATGGCTGGCAACCATCAAGTACTGTATGAGAACCATGCTTCCAAGTCAAGATGGGAGGTGGGTTATGATTGATGTCATATTTTGTGTAGTCAGTAAATTATCTAAGTCAGGCAATAAAAATGAGAGCACTTGCCAGAAGAAATATTTCCAGATAAGTACAATTATAAGATGAAGGAAAAATATGATGTACATCGTTTATGTTAAAACATGCTTGGTTATATATATACTTGATAAATGTGATACTATTTGAACCTTTGTACTGTTGCAGTAGGAGTTTGCCTGCAGGTGGCAGTGAGGGGGATAGGCTGCGAGGCCTTGTAGAACGAGGGGGAAACAAACCCTTAGAGGCAGGTGCTGAAGTAGGTGCTGTAGGAGGTCTGGAACATCCACCGGAACTTCCTCCAAGACTGCAGGGTACAGCAGTGCCTCGAACTGCAGGCAGCGACACACCAGGCCTCAGATTATCGAGTAACAGCAATTTTGAGCTGTGCACATCCCATCCTGAACTGGAACAAGGTTGGATCAGTGTCTCTTGTAGAAAATTCAGCTCACATTTTTTTCCCAGTGAAAACCAATTAAAATGTTTATGTGAACAAGATTTTTGGGCCTACGAGAGAAGACGATGGGCCGTGGAGAAAACTGCATAATGATGAACTTAAAAATCTGTACTCCTCCCCCAGTATTGTCAGGGTGATTAAGTTGAGAAGAATGAGATGGGCGGGGCATGTAGCGCGCATGGATGGGACAAGAGGTGTGCACCGGGTATTGGTTGGGAAGCCTGAGGGGAAGAGACCGCTGGGGAGACCTAGACGTAGATGGGAGGATAATGTCAGGCGGGATCTATGGGAGATAGGGGTTGAAGGAGACTGGATTTTGTTGGCCCAGGACAGGGTCCGGTGGAGGGCTTTGGTTAATTCGGTGATGAACCTTCGGGTTCGGTAAGCCATCTAGTTAGTTAGTTAGTTATGTGAGCAAGATTAATGTTGAAGATGGCTGTCTTCTAAAATTTTCACCAGATTACACAGTGCAGCATCCTAGAAAACTGCCGTCTTCATACTTGTTGTGAGAACCTCAGATCTCAAAAAGATAAATGTTTTAAAGTATAACTGATAATGTTTATTGTAATGACATTTCACTGTATGGTCAAATACTAATTTTAATTAAAGACTCTCATGTTACAAGCTGCACCAGGTGGCTGAATTGTGTATAAACCATATCTTCTGCCAATGTTTCGAGAGCAATCTTTGCTCTCATCCTCAGGGCTGCTGCATAACAAATATGATCCTTTGTAGTGCGCTTGCCGATGAGTTTCCATTGGTGAGTGTGTTAAAAAAGAATCAGATTTGTTATGCAGCAGCCCTGAGGATGAGAGCAGAGATTGTTCTCGAAATGTTGGCAGAAGATATGGTTTTTTCAGCATTCAGCCACCTGGCGTGGCTTGTAACCTGAGAGTCTTTCATCAACTTCATTCACCGTGAAAGCTTCACTTTATACTAATTTTGAGTTAGTAAAGGTTTTATTTGGTAACTTACTTATTAGAGGTATTATTTAATTTGTGTTATAATTGGCAGTTGTTACAGAGCCAGAATTGGATCTTTCAACTTCATTACGTGAGTACCCATGGTTCCATGGGACTTTGCCTCGTTCAGATGCTGCTCAGTTGGTGCTACATGAAGGGGCAACAGGTCATGGTGTATTTCTTGTGCGACAGAGTGAGACACGGAAGGGTGAATTTGTGCTCACTTTTAATTTTCAGGGGAAAGCAAAAGTAAGTGATGTTTCTTACTTCCATAATGGAGTAAAAAAACATTATGTTCTATTTTATCAAAATGTATGATATAATTTTTGGGAGGTTCGTCCATGTTACCAGAATGGTTAAGAAGTACTGGTGTGAATTATCTTCAGCTTGTAATGTTTTCATGTGGCAAAATTTAATACTGAAAAGTTTGTAATCTGGACCAAGACTTGCGTTTTTATGCACAGGTTCAAAAGTATAGGTTAACACAGATTTGTGCATTCCGAGTCTGAATGATTTTGTTAACTGCGCAAGAGATTCTTGAAGAACAAGAGGTGAGAAGTTGGTGAACTTACAATTCATATAACTTATATTTATGAGGTGCTAGGTTTGAATCTTAAATAGGACATTGGATATGGTGCCTGAAGTTTTTATAGTCTTTCTCATACTTTTTAGGCAAATGCCAGAGTAGTACTATGAAGTCTGTGTCTCCTGCTTCTGATCCTTCCTGATTTACTGCACATGATCATTCAATTATCTCATTTGAACTACATAAATATATTCTTATGTGAGGCTACATTAACTCTGCCATTGATACAGTGATGTAAATAACATGTAAATTATTTATTCATTCGTTACAACTGAAAGGATATTAGTCTAAATTTAATTACTCCACCTTATCAGTTTTGACCTCTTTGTTCACTTTTCTACATGGTAATTTTGCTAGGACTGCAACTTCTACTGAGTTGTTGGTTGCAGCACCTCCGAATGACGTTGAATGACCAGGGCCAGTGCCGAGTACAGCACCTGTGGTTTCCAACAATTTTTGACATGTTAGAACACTTTCGTCAGCACCCAATTCCATTGGAATCCGGAGGAACTGCAGATGTGACTTTGACTGAGTTTGTGGTAGCAGCCATCATGCCACCGACAGGTGGACGAGGAAGCTCTACAGGTGGACAGCCGACAGGTACTGAGGCTAGGAGGCCGGCAGCACCACCCGAACCTCGAGAGGTGAGAATCTCAACATTAATTTTGGAATTGGTTATTTAATTGTGATAAAATGATTTTAGTGAATTCATGTTAAAACAGAATTGAAGACATCTTTCATCTTACAGGCTCAGATAGGGCATACAGTTTGAAACATACTGCTGTTCTTGATAATATACTTCATTTGGATAGATTCACTTTGGCAGGAAGTACAAAACAAATTAACGCTGTGCTAAGGGGTCCTTAATGTTCAACAATGCTTACCAGAGCCCGCCACTGGACACATATCTGTGATAGTTTCAACTCCCATCTTCACAAACTGTGTCCACAAGATCTGTTGTAATATTATTCTCCCATTTCATTTTTCTCATTTTTCATGAGGCTTTCCCTAAAAAATTCTGTGTACATTTGTCATTTCCCAGCACATCTTAGCTTTCTAGATATCACTATTCTAACAACACTTATGTGGCCTGTATAATATAGTAATATCCTAAATTGCAGACATAGTTCTTGTTTCTTTGGTCTAAATATTTTACTGAGCGCTTTGGTTTCAGACACTTGTAATTTGTTCCTCTGTAATAAACTATGTTTTTTTAAACAGATCAGCTGGTAAAATATATCGTTTTGCATATCCTGATATTCAGAATCCTGAAAAGTAGATAGGATGCTAGCAGTTTTTGAACTGAATAACAATCATTTCCAAAATTTATTCTTGTAATTTCATCTTGAACCTTTTGTCTATTTTCCAGTGTTGCTTATAGAAACGTAAGTTTTGTTTTTCATTTTCAAAATGATTTATTACGTGCTATATTTCTTTGATTACTTTGTTGCTGATTTTGGTTTTGTGTTGTGTTTATATATTTAGTTTTATTTCATTTATTTTTAGAACAATTACATTGCTAACCTGTACAGGAATTTCTGTGTTATTCTTTTTTTTGTGGAGGCATAGAAATATGCTGGAATAATTAATATCTCAAAACTATTCAGGTATTTATTCTTTCTCTTACCAATTTTACCACAATTAATGATAATTACATTGACATTTCATAACCTTTCACAGCTGACAAGACAAGACAAACTGAATTAATTACAGAAGAATGTCCCCTATTCTGACCAGCGAAGGTGTTTGTACTCCTTACTTGGTAAACTGCTCTTCTGTCCTGTCATAGCTTAACCTATCCTAAATGTCACATGTTTTGCTGCTTAATATTAGCACAATGAATAGCTCAGTGGTCATCAGTGTCTGCTGCACAAATCCTTTGCTTCACACTGCGGTGCTCATATGTGTCCCAGTCTAATATTTTGATTTATTTCCATATCAGTGCCATGTGTCCACTGGTAGCATTTAATCTTTAAGGGATTGTGTCCACTGTGGCTTGTACTTCCTGCAACACATGTTAATGTCAGTGATATTTCACAGTAATATAAGAATGTCATATGTTTCATCATCATTTTTTTAAATCCAATTCTGAGGATTTAGACATAGTCTAATCAAAGTTCAGAAGTAAAAAATAAATTACTAATAATTTCATACACTGTTGTTTCTTAATGTTGTGGAGGGATGAGACTATATTTCAATAGAACTGTGGTGACTAATGGGCCCTTTGTCCATCTACTAGATCAGTGGTATTCAACCTTTTTTGTTCGCTTACCCCCAGATATAATTTCTCTTCAACTTTGTACCCCCAAAGTTGTTGGTGTATAATTCAAGTAATACATAGTATATAATCTACATCTAAAATAAATTAAATAAATTACATTACTGATTATTCAGTATTTATCATAAAATAATATATATTTTTTAAATTTAACGTACCCCAGGTTGAATACCAGTGTACTAGATGATAGATGATTTAATAATATGCATTAGGAGTGGAATGATATTAGCAGGGTAAAACTGAAGGACTAAGAGAAAAACCTGTCCACTGCTTCTTTGTCCACTATAAATTCCACTGGATTGACTTGAGCATGAATTCAGGCCAGTGTCATAAAAAGCCAGTGACTGTCTGCTTGATCTATGGCACAGCCTGTTCATATAACAGTAATAATAACAACAATGCCAAATTTTAAGAAGTTAGGAAATGTGGGCATAGCATAATTTTGGCATTTGCAGATAGTGCCAGTGTTTCTAGCGTCATTGATCTATTCATAGGCAGGATGTCTGACACCTAGAGGTATCCCTCAGGGATTTATCACATTATTTTAATGCTAGCTCAGGATTTGTCATGTGGGGATTTCACACTTAGTTGTTTCTCTGCACAAAGATAAGTGTAAAATGCCTATCTTGTTGTCATGTTAGAACCAGAATTGAAATGTATTGATATTTTAGTAAAATTCACCATTATAAAATATCATGAAAGTTTGTTTAGGTCAGATAATCAGGACTTATTGTATGTAAGATTTGAGGTTTTCACAGCGGTGAGTATGCAGATTTCTGTCTTCTGGGTCGTTGCGCTGTGTAGTCTGGTAGATGTTTACCAACGTTCCAGAGGTCATACTGCTTCCGTCATCAGGGCAATGAATCGCCCTGATGACGGAGGCAGTATGACTTCTGAAACGTTGGCTAACATCGACCAGACTACACGGCGCAACAACCCAGAAGACAGAAATCTACATGACTTATTGTATGTTTACAAAGTATAAGAAGGGCATATGTGGATGAGAAAATTTATGTCAATTAGGCTATATGCTCTTTTCATTTTCTTTCCTTGTTGATGTGCTACAAATTGAACAACCATGGGATCATTATGTAGATGCATACAAACTATTGGAAAATCAATATGTAGCTTTTTTATTGTTGTCTATGGAAGTGACTGAGCTTCTAGAACCAGTTGGTCCAAGAAAAGGTGTCACTTGAAATCTCACCATTTAGTATTATTTTCCATACTAGTCCATAGATGGCATTATGAGTCTTAACTGTATTATCATGTCATCTGCGTGAGTGTAATAACACTTATAAATCTGATAAGAAAAGAAGACTGTGTGACATTCTAAAATTAGTGATGTCATACTTATATTGAAATTAAACTTGTTTGTTTTGTAGGAAAAGTTTTCTTTATACTTCTACCACAATATTTTTAAAATGCTTGGGACTTGCTTCTCTCCATTAAAATAAATAATCTATTGGTCATTGAATTTTGCAGGGACATTTTCTTTTATGGAGGAGATATCTTATTGTTTGACATAATGCTTCTGAATATTTTTCATAATTTAGTAAGTAGTAATAACAGCAGAACTATTAATTGCTTAAACTAAAACAGCGAAGTGCGAAGGTATAAATACATTGAATGTTGTGTTTTATCATTTGAACCTAGCAACATGAAAGTGCACAAGATTGCAATACAACGAGACCTGCGTGCACAAAACTCTTGTCTTACGATCTCTGAAGCATAGGACATGCCACTTACATTGTGTGTTATGCTAATGGTTGCATCCCGTTCATAGGTGTGAGTCCGCGCTGTGGTCGATACAATTGGTGCCTCTAACTTTGGACTTGATAATGTGAGTAAATTTTAAAGCAACGCAAAATGAAACTCCTTAACATTAGTATAAACCCAGTACTAACACAGACGATGTAAGTGGCTTGTTGAACAGGTGTTACACTTACATTATGTAGATTGACCTGCAGTATTTATGTATAAGACAGACACCTTATTTTGTATGGCATTTCCTTCCATGATCATTCAACTTTCTGCATGTCTGGGCGCTATTTATTTTTGTTTTAAACAAAAATTATTTAATCACTATGTTTTATTGAATAAATATCTTAAAAGTATGTGAATTTTTAAACAGTCAATATAACTAGACCATAAATTATAAAAATATGAAAAAATTAACTTTCAGATTATAAAAGTTAAATTAATTTTACCCAGCTTTCTTCATGCATATTGTCAGGAATGTGTTGTGTGATTTTCAGTAAGATATTGCAGCCCTTAGTAGTCATTCTTCTTGACTCTGGATACATTTTATGATTATATTTATAAAAATATGAAGTTATAGGTCCTAAATTTATCAGAATGTATGGCATGCAGTTAAAAATCAGTAATCTCCCTTTGAGGTTATGTAGGAATAATTAATGACTAATAACTCATTACTGGCTATAATTTCTTTGTCGTGATGTTATTTTAAGTGTAATGAGTACAGTTTTATTCCTTGAGTTAGTGTAATTTGAAGAGAATGGCTATAGAGGGCTGTTGCACTGTTTGAAGGAGTCACTTTAAAAAAATTTAGATTTAAATGTTTGAGGTGCTTTTTTTCCTCCC